CAAAGTTCGTTTTGAAAGTACCTTACGCTATACCAGAACCTTACCAAAAGGTGGCACTGTGGCTCCATCAAACATTCAGACATTTTACACATGATTTTGTAACTTAGTCCAATCTGAAGACAGAAACATCAGACAAACATTACATTTGCGTCCTTCTCATGCTGGATGGCAATCGGTTAATTAGGAGGAGATGAAATTTTACCATAATACTCCAACAGAACTAAATCTATATCTGTGCAACTGCTGTTACTGCTTCCTAGATTGGAATGTCCACTATCAACAGAAAACATCGTAATTTACACTTTAGAGGAAGGGGTGTCAGAATGCCAGATGTGGATTCCAGAGGAGTTTCTCTCTGGAGGTGGACCTGTCAGACTAAAAGAGATGTAAACACATTTCAGGGATATCTAACCCTGATTTACAATCAAAAAGGCATTTATGTTATCACACACGATCCACTTTAGGTGTACGGTGTCGTTCTGATCTGTGGAGAAGTCAGTGTTCTGTTAAAGAGGATAAAACATATTGACACCTTAGAGATCCCATCTGAGAATCTGAAAAGAACCAGGATCTCTGTGCAGGAGACTGTCGGCGCCACAGTCTCACCTCCCCTCCTGGGTCAAAAAGGTCAAAGGGAAAGAGGAGGCCTTGAAAACTCTCCTGGTGGAACAAAATCAAAATAATATGATGATTGTTGAATTAAGAGACAGATAAAGCGTCTCTTGTAGAGGAAGACGAGGACAAGGTCCTACAACATATACAAATAGTATGCTTGGGACCATAATGTGTGTCTGAAATGTTTTTCTGCATAAAAGTATAATTTCCACAATAAAAACCTTAAAAGGCTTCTAGTCCTACCTCATGAACAATTCCAGAATCTATGAATATGCAAATATTGTGCATGTCCTACTTCACTCTTAAGTCCATTCTCAGTGTACGAGCACTGGCAGCTTTACATTTCTATATCACAGTTGTATAAGCTGCATACTGGACCAGGGTTGACTTCCAAAACATAAACATACATAAAGCTTATGAAAAAGCTTTGAATGTAGTGCAGATGGTGCCAAGGTCCATTTCCATTGGGTTTGTTGGGTTGCATGAATGGGTTAAGTACAATACCAACACCTTGGAGGTGCAGGTTTGAATCCCCTTAGAGAATGATTTTTAGAATTAGCTGAATTATAATTTTCCTTTATTTTTATCTTCAGTTTTCAGACACACTTTGGTTAGGTTTAGACAACAAAACGTCTTGGTTAGGTATAGGAAAATATCATGGTTCGGAATAAATTATCCCAATGTAAGACACATGTTAAAAACCCTTTCGGGCAGAACATTTCTCCCACTCACACTAACACGGGCACCTGGGAAATATAGCGCTTGAATGCGGGGCGTGTCTTGCCATGAAAAGCAGTGGGATCCATATTAACTCTGCACTGACGGATTCTGATGACCTTCAAAATCTAATGAATTCATCCTTGAGTCCAAGTGGACATTTGTGCAGTTTGAATAAATTCTCTCATTGCATTCCTGAGATATAACGTTCACGAGAATGGGACGTATGGACAGACGAGTGGACTAACAGAGAGATAACCCAAAGACAAAACGCCTCCGGCTACGGCTGTCGCCGGCATGGAAGCCTACAAACTGAAGGATCCTGTGGCCAAGTAATGAGTAACTGCCAGGCTAGATCTGGCCCCCAGGACAATTTCAGAAAAAAACATAGATGTAATATTTAACAAGCTGTCGTATTTGTTAACATAAGCATTTAGCTATGAAAAAAAAATCACACTTTCCTCAAACAAAAATTTTCTATCTAAACCTGAAATAAGGGGCACAGATAATTTCAAGACATAACTGGTAATTTTATTGTATAAATTACTGCAACCTTTTCATCGAGTCTGTGTGTCTGCCTTTTTTTAACGCAACAGGGATTTATCAGCTAGCCATGGAGAAGGAGACGGAAAGGTGAGGTGTTCAGTTTTAGTTATATAGTTGACTGTAATGTATTGTTGAAAAAAAAGACATTTGTTTGGAGAGTCTTTAAGTCCCTGCAGCCCAGACAAAAAAATATGTGGTTGTAATACAATAAACAACTCCAATTATGCTGTTAACTAAACTCAAATTGTTATGTTGTCAACTAAATGTTTCATATTGAACAAAGTCCTGAGGACTACTCAGGTATGCTAATTACTCCAGAAAAATATTCATCTGGAGGATGTGGCTGTCTGATGGAAACCTTTACTGTTGGGAAAGCTGCTCTGTCTGCTGCCTCAGCTCGTCTTTTGCCTAATATGATCCAATGGTCATGCGCTTTCAGAGGAACACGGTGTTATAAAATACAGATGTTGGCAGGACTGAGGTTTTGTATTTCATCTTTTGGGTGGTATAAGTTAGGAAGTATGTCTGTAGGAAGCCACATTGTGTATTTAAAGGAAGGATGAATAGTGGAAGTGAAACTCTGGTTCCAGTGGTCAACTTAAAGTTTCCTGTTAAAGGTTCCGTTTGGACTACAGGGTGGAAGCTATGGTATGAAATCATCATGTCTGATGAGGTTTCTTGTGCTTATTATGAAAAAGCTATAAGTTAGTATATTTGGCAATGCAACACAGTCTTTTTAGGTCAATACTTGGCATGACAATTATGTCCACACAGAGACCACCTCTGCTGCTGCCCAGCCCTACAATAAATAAATATGTTAACAAATGGATACCATCCACAGAAAGGCAAGGGAGCAATCTGAATCAATCCTGGATACAGGATGTGTTGAGATAAAAAAATATATATATACAGCTCTGGCTGTATGTGGCTGCTCTCACCTGTAAACATGGGTGCCGAAATGTAAAGCAATATACTGATGCACATGCACTGCAAATACTTGCACCTTGTCCAAGCTCCAATGAAACTTAGCACAGTACTACTACAGTACACTATTTGCTTCAGCATATTTACGTGATTCCTGAAAAAATAGGCAGCTAGGGAGGGATTTGTCGTGGATTTTTGGCATTTACAATAGTGGTGAGTGTGTAATAAACTACAGTGAAAAACAGTGTGTTTATGTGTGTGTGTGTCTGTGTGTGTGTGTGTCTGTGTGTGTGTGTGTGTGTTGGCACTGTGTAGTCTAAAAGTACCAAGATATTTCACGTAAAGGTAGCAATTAAACAATGTAAAAATATTCCTAGCTACATACTCGAAGTAAAAGTCTTGCATTTAAAATCTCACTTAAGTAAAAGTACACAAGTATTGGCACCAAAATGTACTTTAAAAGCATAAAAGTAAACATACTCATTATGCACACTGTGCCTATTTAGAGAGTTGTATATTTCATAAATGATTTTTTGGCAGCATTTTAAAGTTGTCAACAAGAAATTAATCTAGCTAATTTATCTCTACTTTGGGGTTGTTTATTTTATAGTTTTATTTCATAAAGATGAACAAATGTTTTAAATATAAAATATAGATCTGAAAAGTAATGGGTAACTATATCTGTGAAAACAATTTTATGGAATAAAAAAAATATATATATTTATTTTAAAACCTTTCATAGCATAACATGGAAATAAATTTTTTCTTCAGAGCTGATTTATATGCTAGATAACGGTGGTAGGGAGTGGGAAAACTACCACGTGCAAAACAAAGTGGTGCGAAAGCAGCTGAACAAAGCATTACAATGTTGTGTTTTATCAAAATATTTTCCTAACATGGCAGGTCTGGTAAATTCAATTTCATTCTTTGTCCCAAGTAGGTAATTTGAACATGTGCACAGGGTGGCTTTCACCAATGCACCCTGAGTCCTTTAAGCTCCTCTTGAGCATGCTGGAAGTGTGTATCGTAACCCCAAAGGCCTTAGTTTTAGTTCCAAGAATGAATATTGCCAACATCACCAAGCAACCGTTTCAGTGTAATAGGCCTTTAATCACTGTCAACAAAATGCAGCTCTACTAATGAGGACCACACAATATCAACATTACAAATATAATATATTGCACATCATTATTATGAAGCATAATTGTCACTATTATCATCATCATCACCATCACTAAGGTAATGGGATTGTCAACAACAGCAGCAGTTACCGCCTCCTGCCATTATCTTTTCAGGCTTAAATGGAGACAGGGGTGAAGATAATAAGGCAACCTAAGCTTACAGTACATTCTACAGTTTGATCCCCTGGAAAATATGTTTACTTGTTTGACTTTGGCCTCTGTTTCTACATGTATATATTATACAAATCTCCATGCATTGGTACATATTTGTTGTACGGCCCTGAGATCTTGCTACGAATGTCCCAAACGTTTTGCATACTACTCACTGTTTTAGATTTTTTCACATCTTTTTTCTTGAATCCATCCATGCTGCTTAACAAGTTTAGTTCTCAGTAGTTTAGTCACTAGGTCTTGTGTTTGATAGCAAATCAACTCATCTTCAAATATACTGATTTCCTCCCATTTAATATCCCAGATCCCAAACCAGGCCTTTTTTTTTACTCTCTGATGTCATACCACACACACACACACACACACACACACACACACACACACACACACACACACACACACAAAATAAATTCACAAGGTGAAATGAATACCAGTCAGGTTGTTGCAGCTGGTAAATGTAGAACTGGAAATGAGCATCATAGGTCCCTTTTAAGAATGTGAATGCTACAAAACTGAACTTTATTACTTGTGATGTGTTGTGTGATTTGTTGAAGGGTAAAGGCATATTATTTGAGCTTGGAGTTGTGTTGTATTGACAAGCCGTAGCATAAGTTTGGCAAGTGTTTGCTGGAGTGTGTGTTCTTTATTTATTTACTTTTTTATTTTCCTTTATTTAGCCAGGAAGGTCACATTGAGATACTTGGGAGTTTGTCAAGATGGCAACATAAGCAGTTTCATATACTCTTTCTTCACGTGTCACTTTTTGACACATGACATAAGGAAGAAAAAGGGACGGTAAAGGCAGAATAAAAAGGAGCGGAATGTTAGGGAACCGTGGACTTTAAGACCAGCAGTGAGTTGGAGATGGAGAAACGAACGAAGCAACAACTCAGTAAGTAGTTTACTGCTACTTTGAACCATTTGTCAGAAATGTTGAATAATAAGTTTGAACAGTTTATGTTAGATATTTTTGTTTTGGTCTTTTATATTCAACATTTTATTTCACTGTGTTTTCATAAAACACGTTGAGGGTTTATTCCAAATTGATATCACTGGCTGTGTAAATACATGTAATTTAACGTCCTAAACTAAATCACTCACATTGTACTTGAGTTGCTTTTGGCTTATGAGCAGTGGTGTTTTTTTTTTTACAATGGTTGCTTCTGGCCTTTGAACTGCCACAAATCTTTACGTGTATGTAGTTTCTTTAATTAAGTACTGTACTACAGACAATATTCTCTTTACTTAAACTTTACGTTTTCTGAGTAAATAATGAATAAAGCTGTGTTTTGTGCTCTGTATAATTATCTTAGGTTTGGTTTATTATATACATATATTATAGCTAATGTATGTAAGTTTATTCATAAAAAAGTTTAGCCATTCACATTGATTGTGAAGTAATTTTTAAGCAGCTGTGATATAAACCAAAACTACTACTAAATTTGGTCAGTTTTGAACCTGGCTCTTATCAGTTTGACACCAATTGGATTTAGCTCAGATTATTATTATTATTATTATTTTTTTCATCACTTTAATCTGGAAATTATTGTTTATAATTCAAAAACCTTTATGGGGGCAAACAATGGGGTTCTCTAATCAAGCTGTCAATACATTACATGAGTCATAATATAAATGGATCACTTTAATCATGCTGCATGGCTAACTGTACAATATTGTTGAAATTACACCACATCCCAAAATCTCAGAAATTAAACTGGTGATTGAAAGGTTATCATAACTGTAATTTAATTTAATAATTAAAATAATGTTCAGAACTACCGAAAAGAGCTCCATGTGTTCCATATTGGCACCTGGGTTGCTGACATACTGTATGTTAGTTCCTCTGTCATCATTAATTCTTTGCTGTGGTTTCGTTAGGGGACTCCTCTGATAGGGGTGGAGTCCAGGCAAATCAGTATGGCTCCATCTCTAATCCTGACCCGAACCCTGTGGCCCAGGATGAACACTTCTCCACATGCTTTGAAGACATGGTGGCCATTCCTGAAAATATTAATCAGGTACTGTCTCACAGCCACTGTTTCATGTAAAGTATTCAGCAAAAATGAAGCTTTTTTCAAATACGATGCTTTACCCTTGTTAAAAGTTTATGACAATTTGTATGATTTTGGGAAGTAAAATATATTGTACTTGGAATTGAAAGAATTTTGCATTAATCGAACTACAACAGTAATAATGATCAAATTATTTCACCCTTGTATTTAGGTATTCAGTTTCCGCAAACTCTGGGCCTTCACTGGACCTGGGTTTTTGATGAGCATTGCCTACTTGGATCCAGGGAACATCGAGTCTGACCTGCAGTGTGGAGCAATAGCTGGCTTTAAGGTGATATGTAAAAACTAGTGCTGTCAGTTTAATATGTTATTAACGGAGTTAACGCAAACCCATTTTAACGGTGTCAATTTTTTTATCGCAAGATTAACGCCTAGCACACTTTGTAGTTTTTTTCACATGCTGTTGCGACAAATAGTAACGTTAGAAAAACTACAACACCACACCGGATCTAGCTAGAGCAGAAACAAAACAACAGGCACGCCGCACACACTAGTTTAAGAGTAGTAGACATTACGTTTTGAGTGGATGGCGAGTGCGAGACGCTGAAATGGATGGATTCCTTGTTGTCTGAAAATGTCAACAGGCTTGTCTGTTTGAGTAACTGGCTCAAAGCAAAGAAGTAGTAGGCTTACCTTTTATTGGTAACCGTTACTGTTCATTCTTTCTGAAATAAGAGGCTGGGTTGAGCCTCTGGTGAATAAAGAGCAGTAGCCTGACTGCTATGTTCAAAAGAAAACTTGAGAAAAATATTAAGCCATGGTTTAACTGCACTATAGGCTGAGTCCTAGTTTACTTTACATGTGCACTTTGTAATTTCATTTTGTATCGCCCTGTTTGATCCCTTAGAAAGGGCTGTTGAAGGGGCTGTTTGTGTGACAAAGTATTTTTTTCACCCTTTTATTGATGGACAGTGTTACATTGTGTGAGAGATTATTTGCTCCAAGTGAGAATGTAAATTGAACACTACAGTATATGCCAATGTTGTTTTCAATAACAACATTTGCACAAGGCAAGCCAATCCACTTTTCCATGTTGATAAGAGCATTAAAATGAGAAAAAATAATGGGACAAAAAGAAATCAAGGGACATTTAGAATAGATAAAAATGTGCGATTAATTGTGAGTTAACTATGACATTAATGAGATTAATCGCAATTAAATATTTTAATTGTTTGACAGCACTAGGAAAAGCACAATAATCTCCTTAGTTTGTTTTCCCACGGCCTGATAGTTTACTAGTTGATGGGTGTCGGTTTATGGCAAAAAATGAACGATAATTCAGCATAATTTTGACTGGTATGTATTTGGGCTTTTTCTATTTGTTCACTCCATATTTGAGAAAGTAAATCTGCAGCTTTTTGTTGCTCTCTTCACCCAGATAGACACTGCATCTTCTACCTTTCCTAAACGTGTCATTATTTTATTTTGAAGGCAAAATTACTTTACTTCTTGTCTGTCTCTTGTCTGTTTGTAGCAGTGACACAGAATGAGCTGCATCAATATATTTGTGAAAGCAAAGGCATCATTTTTGCAATGACTTATGGTTATTTTAATCCTAATTATTTTCATTAAATTATTAAAAATGAATAATAGCTTTGAATGTTTGTTTTAGTGCATCACACAGTGTCTAAACTTACCATAGGCATTCATTATTTAAATTTTGCAGTCTGCCAAAGTAAAACTCCTGTACAGAAAGTAACGTTTGTTTACTTTCACCTGCTTTCACTTTCTTTCTCAGCTCATATGGGTGCTCCTTTTAGCCACCATCATTGGGCTGTTGATGCAGAGGTTAGCTGCACGCCTCGGGGTCGTCACTGGCATGCACCTGGCTGAAGTCTGCAACCGGCAATATTCCAGAGTGAGCATTCCCCTCTCTCATCACACATCTCAACTTCCCTTTTCGTACTGCACTTAAACTTTTTATGCATGGGGTTGTGTTTGTAAAATCTCTGTATCAGTGAGTGTTCTATCTTTATTTTATTTTTTTCAGGTTCCTCGTGTCATGCTTTGGTTCATGGTGGAAGTGGCAATTATTGGCTCAGACATGCAGGAGGTCATTGGCAGTGCCATAGCTCTCAATCTTCTTTCTGTTGGCAGGTACCTTCTGGACTGCTTGGCCATGGAAAGTGACTGCAAACATTTTGTATGTTTCTGTATATGCACACTTTCTTCTATTTTTCTTTCAGGATTCCACTGTGGGCAGGAGTCCTCATCACCATCGTAGACACATTTACATTTTTATTTTTTGACAAATTTGGTATGCATATACCGTCACTTACTTTTCAGTGTCTAAAAATCTGTGTATCCCAGTGTTGATATAGTTTGTATCTCTTTTTAGGCCTGAGGAAACTTGAAGCTTTATTTGGCTTTCTCATTACTGTAATGGCTCTTAGCTTTGGTTTTGAGGTAAAAGTTTTTAACAATTTCCAGTATAATTAAAGTGTTTGTTGAGTTTTAGCTAATACGTTCATGACACCATGACAAGTTTGACTCTGTCTGTCTGTAGTATGTGCTGGTAAAGCCAGATCAAGGGGAACTGCTAAAGGGCATGTTCTTGCCTTACTGTGCCGGCTGTGGGCGTGCGCAACTGGAGCAGGCAGTGGGGATCATAGGCGCTGTCATCATGCCACACAACATCTACTTGCACTGGTCAAGGTTAGAAGCATATTTCTTGTCATGTGTGGATAAACAAGACTAAAAGTAAAGCCTAAGGCTACGGTCACACATGAACTGATGCAGGGGAGTGACCATAGCTTGCTGAAGTCAACCACAAACACTCCTTTGCTATTGGCTGAGGCTGGAAATTTGCCGGTCAAAGTTAAGCATAGCTGAACTTCACATGAAGTAAAGATGCACATTTGTGCAAGTATGACCGTACCCAAGGGTGTTTGATGAAAGTAGAGTGTAATTCTATTCATTTCCTCATGTACCAGTCTCGTGAAATAGATCGCAATAAAAGGGAGGAAGTGAAGGAAGCCAACAAGTACTTCTTCATCGAATCAGCTATTGCTCTCTTCATCTCATTCATCATCAACGTATTTGTTGTAGCAGTCTTTGCTCAGGCCTTCTATAATAAAACCAATATGGAAGTGGTGGGTATACATTATGATAGTATAAATCCATTCCTCTTTACTGGCTACTGTTGAGTGTCCAAAGCCTCAAGTTGTGGCTCATCATGTGTTTGTGTCCCTGACTGCAGAATGCATTGTGCAACGCAACCGGAAGTCCTCACACAAATCTCTTCCCCCTCAACAATGACACACTAGAGGTGGACATCTACAAAGGGGTATGTCTGGTCATCATTACAACAAAAAATGGCAATAAATTGTGGACAGTGATAAGACAGCTCCAGTAAGATCTTGGTAAACAAACAAACACATAACTGTTAAATCTTTGGGAAAACCTTTTTTCTTTCTCATTGCTAATTTTAATTGGCAGTGATATATCAAAGCCTCAGTTTGATTGACCTCTGTCAGAGCATGTATTCACATAACAAGAGAGGGAGTTTTTGATCAAGCACAGTTTGCACACATCCCCAGTCCTGAGACAAGGGTTTTTAACCCCTGATCTGATCCAAATTATTTAATACAATTTAAAAAAAAAATACTATCTGCTGATACTAAGTCCTGATCAAATACTTAGTTTTTTTATATCGTACAGTGCACATTGCATATGTTTATGCTCGACAATTAAATAGCTTTTAAGAAACAATATAGGCCTACCTGCATCGATGCTGCTCATTAATGGTTTTTGTTGGTGTTGTTTTTTTTACACGATGAAGTATAAAATAAAAGACAGTAATCTTTTTGGTCTTGTCGATGTCTGGGGGCCATGTGCTACCTGTCTGTATTCTGCTGATTGTTCATTTCCATAGGCTTTTTGTTCGAGGGACTTTTATTGCACTTGCAGTGGCGTGTTGAGTGTGCTTGTGTCAGATCTCTACCGCTCTCTCCTCCAAGCAGAGGCAGCCCTGCCCCTGGTGAAACTCTGCAGCGGACGGGGCTGCTCATGCTCTCACACACTCACTCATACAGAGCAGAGTGGAGGAAAGAAAGAGCGAGAGAGTTGACAATGGCTGCACCCAGTGAAAGTTTGTGAGTAAAAACAGCTGTGTGACAGCTGACGTAAAACATCTGACAGATTGGATCGGATCAATAAAGCTCGAAATAGCAGATACCGACAAGTTATTAAATGCTTTGATCTGCACCGATACAGATTGTTGAGATCAGATCAGGACATCCCTACTCTGAATCTATCAATCTATCTATTTTTCTACATCCCCTCGACATAATGAAATAACTATCTGTGTCTTTTTTAAGGGATGGAAAGATACATGTGTGGTAGATAATGTATTTATCTGTGTATGTCTGTTTATTCAGGGAGTGGTCCTGGAATGTTTCTTTGGTCCTGCAGCCCTCTACATCTGGGCAATAGGAATATTAGCAGCTGGACAAAGTTCCACCATGACAGGCACTTACTCTGGGCAGTTTGTTATGGAGGTAAGAATGTCTGTTGGTTATATACCTGGATTTTGGGGGGAAAAAAATCGAAATAAAATAAATAAAAGATAAGTGTTCACGCTTATGTTTTTTATGTCTTTACTTTCAAGGGTTTCTGGAACCTACAGTGTTCTCGTTTTAAACGAATACTGCTGACCCGCTCCTTAGCCATCGTGCCTACTCTGTTTGTATCCTCAAAGGATGTTCAGCATCTGACGTGGATGAACAACATTCTGAATGTGCTTCAAAGCGTGCAGGTCAGGGTGACTAATTTAATAAAGCCCACATAATAATAATAATAATAATTAAAATTAAAACCTATACTATTACCCTACTCTTACACATTCTGCCACGCCGTTGCTGTTTTGTAGCACAATCCTGTAAAATATATAGTCTAACATTTGTTTGACTTTACTTTTACTCACCAGCTTCCATTTGCTTTGATACCAATCTTGACCTTCACCAGTCTGACATCCATTATGAATGAATTTGCAAACGGACTGTGAGTGAATCCTTCTTTATCATTCATTTGTTTTCTCTTTAATAATTTCTAATTATTGACTTTATCATGCCTCTACGCAGTCTATATTTGTTAGCTGTATCCCTTGTATTACTTTGGTTAGGATAAGGCACCAAAACTACCTGGGAAAAGATCATGGCATAAGTCAATGTTTCTATGAAACGGCAAGGGGCATGACAAAATGTCTGTATTTGACAACCTGATGACCAGATTAGTATCCTGAACTTTCCTACATTTTCCAACATATATTGACAGCTGTTTAGTAGATGTTTTATATTAAACAAATTGCAAGACAGCTCCTTTGTTTTTACACAGGCCAATAAATAATAAAACAAATAATCAGTAAACTGTATGTGTCTTTAGGGTGTGTAAGATTTTCGGAGTCATCGTCACCCTGGCGGTTTGTGCAATCAACATCTACTTTTTTGTGGTTTACATCATGTCGCTGAACAGTGTGGTGGTCTATGTATTCGCTGGTCTCGGCTCTTTAGCCTATCTGTGCTTTGTACTCTACCTGGTGAGTTATAGCACTGCAACATTACATTCACCTCTCAGACACTTTTTGGATTTTAAAACGTTTTAACCTTTTTTAATGTAATTTTATTGGTACAGTCTATGGATGTATTACTCCTTAAGATCTTGCTACACTTAGTAATCTACCAACTGGAATGCTGCATACGTAGTTAGCTTTTTACCCTACACTAATAAGCACATGCATCAAATGAATAGGTAATTTGTAGGAATTTAACTTTTTATATCACAGTTTTCAAGTGGATTTTCACAAACAATAAATTCCCCTTGGTATTTAGGTGCATACCGATCAGATTGGGTACTAAGAAAAAAAAGTTAGGTTAGGTTTTCTGTCTCTAAGACAGAAAATGAATGCACACCAAGGGTTGTAGTAAGGTGCTGATCACTGGAAGTTGACTTGAGAGTAGAGAAAAAGTGTTGCACAGGTTTGCAGGTTTTCTGTCTCACACTCTCATTGCTTCAGTGAAAAACCAAAAAACATATTTCATGCATAAATGTATTGAATCTCATTTGTCTACAGGTATGGCACAGCTTGATTGCTTTGGGGGTTTCCTGCCTGGATAGGGTAACCAGTCGACCGACTGTGTTGATAGAGGAGCAGTCTGAGCACGACTCCTAGAGCAGGACAGTTAACCACAAGCATTCTTCTTTCTGGTCGTAGACACTTATCTATTTTTTTTTATTGTTGTTTCCATCAAAGGAACAGTGTGCATTGAGCAGTGAGGTTGCAGAATGCAACTGACTGAATACCCCTTACCTCGCCCTCCACTTCCAGGCATGTAGGATCATCTACAGTCGCCACAAAAGCGAGAAAGGCCCTCTCAAGCCAGTGTTTGGTTTGTGGGTTCTGTGCTATTGTACAAACACAGCATTGCAACATTTGTATATCATTCCAAGATATACACAACAATTCTCATTTTCAGGTGATCATACTCTAATAAAAACATAACTATGCATATAATACACAATTTCTTCCATATTCTAGGTAGATAGATCCAGGGGCAGATATAGATAAATATTCACGTGTAGGCCTTTTGCCTTTATTTGATAGGAATGCTCAAGATAGATAGAAAATGTGGAGAGACAGGGAATGACATGCAACAAAGGGCCACAGGTCGGACTGGGTCGCCAGCCCTACCAGGTGATCTACCAGTGTGCTGCAGTAGTAATCTTTTTAATTTACTTTTCGATTCCTGTGTTTACTATGACATATATTAATGCTTACTTCAACCCTCATACCATAATAATGTCAATTTCCAAGTGTCCTGCTGTTCATTCTGGATTCAAGGTTATTTTATTGTCATTTACTACGAAAGGTTGTAGAATGAAATTTTGATATGGTTACCTTTATGCTAACAAAATAAAAAATGATAAATGAGTCATATTAAATGTAACTTATTTGTATGATGAATTTTTGATGAAGAATTTAACATTCTCACAGCCTGAGGGAAGAAGTGGAAACCTCTGTACCATTTCCCAGATGGCAGCAGGGTAAACATGCTGTGGCTGTGGCAGGGGAACTGTCTTTTCATATCGTTTGGGCTCTGCGCAGGCACCTCACCTTACCAATATCACTAATGCTGGGTAGCAGAGTACCGATGCTGGGTGGTTTTAATTACCCGCTTCAGAGTCCTCCTGTGCTTTGACGTGGAAATCCCATGACAGTTTGTGAGGTCCTCTATTATCTGGTCTCAGTATTCCGTCTGTGTAGCAGTTTTGCATCTAACATTTCAGTTGACAACTAGGGATGTCCCAATCCAATCTCAAAGATCTGTATGATCAATGCATATCATGCGGTGTTGAGCCCAACCTGATCATTTGCTTTATGTCAGCTGTCATATAGGTGTTTTTTTTTTTTTTACTGACAAAGCTTTAATGCTTAGCAACACAATACGTCTTACCTTTGCTTAGAGTTGTACCCACCACTTTTTCTAATCTGTTACCCACCAGAGAGAAGACTCCTCATGTTTCACTCACTTATGCCATGGTCAATGTTAAAGAGCCTATATCAGATCGATCCCTGCTCTTTGTCCAGTGGCATCCTAAATGAACACTTTCACCTGTCAGGTGATGATACCACGTTTTTTTATTCAGGTTGTGCCTGGTTGAGCTACAGGGATGACTATACATCAGAAATCCATCCTATTCTAGCTGAGTCTGTTTTGGATCTTTATGAAGTAGTCAGAGTGTTCTTCACTGGGACGGTTCAAAATAACATTTCAATAATCTCACATTGAATACAAAGGAAAACAGTCTATGTTTCTGTACTATTGTAAACCTAAAACAACATGTGAGAACTGAGTTACTGTTGATCTGACCAAAAGTGACATGGTTACACTAACAGGCTCTGTCTCTACTTGAATGGACATCCATTCTGCTGGGTCCAGAGAGCTGGGTCAGTACCAGCATCGATTGAGGTACTACATGAGTAGATAACATTCAGACAAGAAACTGCATTTCAACAGTCAACTTCCCATGTTTCTCTCATTCTGTCGATCTGATCAGTGGTGATAGTTCAGTCAGTGAATCTCACTCAGTGAAAGACATTCCTGAACACACTGCAGGTTCCCAGACAGATCGGAGTCTGTCCAGAGGGTTTCAGTGGGATATCAGACAGTCAGCTGTGGACAACTAATCTGATTTAAAGCCTCTCAACAATGGTGACGTGGAGGAATCAGCTTTCACCTCACTCTTCAGTATAATTAGACATCATTAACAAAACAGCTTTAAACATGTAGAAATTAAGAGGTTGTCAACTAAAATGGTTGAGTCAAGAGTAAGGTTGAGGGTCCTTGTAAAATGTAAGAGTGCACTTTGTAAAAGATGTGCAGCATTGCAGAGAGCTTTTATCTACACAATGAGTTTAAATTGGCAGGATTTCAACCACTCACAAAAAGCATACGATTTTCATCCATCACATGACATCACTATCCTGATCAGATGAAAAAAAGTCTCCTCTAATGACCTGATTAATTCATCTGAGCACCAGGAACAGGATTTATTTCCCAATGATAATGATATGATCTATTTCATCTATCTAAGAAACATATTATTAACACATAATCAATAAGTAATGGTAAAATAATCATATGTCATATGTTAAATATATTTGTTTAAGATGCAGCTCATACCTTAGATTGACCACATTAGATTGACCACACAAGCCAATTGAGTTGTATTATGTTGTGTGTGAGCTCATTGAGTGAAGCATGTTCGCTGCTTTCAGTTTTAACCTATAACCTTTATATGGGCGCTTCTTTGGAAACAAGAGAAGTGACTGAAAGTCTCTGAATGTGTGTATGTGTATATGTGTGTTTTAATTGGTTTTTGAGAATTGCTAGACTTGATTATAAGTGCAAACTCTTAAGTAAACTAATGCGGATCTGGCTGAGAACAAATGGTGAAAGCTGAATAGAAGAAGACTTGCTAACATAACTGGACAAACACTGAAAAATGTAAATTAGATGATGAATAACATTTTGACAGTCTAAAGCATTTATTCTCACAGAGAGAAAAGGAAACCTTCAATCGACATTACTCATGGAGGCGATAAGAGAAAAGCAGTAACTGGTTTCCTTCCTCTCAAACTTTCCAAGTGAAAAGCAAAATAGATGACTTTTAAAAGGAGTCTTAATTCAGCTATCACGTTACATCTAAATATGTCTACAACAATCTTGGTTCCTGTTTATTGTTGTGGTTCAAATAGCTGATCCTTCATCGTCTACAAAATGCATTCCTATACAGTTGGTGCAAACTCAATTACTGTAATGTTTTTTGAAGTGCAGTCAGCCTTGTGTGGCCTCTTTATTGAGGGTCTGTTTCATCTCCCTCTCTAATGCTGCCACCCCAGGGCTCTGCTGGATTACATGTATTTACAGCTGCTCAATGAGCTTTTACACTTCAATTCACCAAGGAGGACGAGGCCTCCGGACTTCATCACATATCCTTCATTTAAACACATAGAGGAAACATCATTATGCTGCTAATAAACAGCTTGAAGTCATGTTTATGAACTAATGTTAGAGTTAATCACTAAGAGACAAAACACACACTCAGAAAACCAGTCTTGATATGCAATCAGCTAATCAATTACTTATGGCTGAACTATTGGCCAACAACAGCCTTCTCACATATCCAGTAGACACAGAACAACACAAGCAGCTGGAGTTGTTATGTTTGAGGATTTTTATTCCTCATAGTGCTAGAATTTGCTTAAACTAACGAGCCAAAATCTGCCTAGATGAGTCCCGCTCCATCAAAAAGCAAGTGTCTGCATGTGTTGGTGGATTGATGCCTCAGAGCAGGTAGATAATAAAGACTCCCATTTAAACAATAAACCACAGGAGACTGTTTTAATAGTTATATGATAGTGCCTTGCACTGTAACTTGAAAGGCAGAGTGGTAAGAATATTATTTCATGAGAAGGTGTCATAAATGATCAGAGACGAGTATGTGTAGTCAGCTCCACAGGTTGTCATGTTTAAACCTCCATCACTGCATATGTCAGTCTTGTATCTCACCTTTGGGACACACTGTGGCTCTTAGCTCCCTCACTGTTCCCATCATGGCCTCTCCTGCTGTCACAGGCTAACCCTTTTCCTTTCCCATGGCTAGAGGCTGTTAATGCCACTCAGTTGCTTTAATATTGGAAATCTATATGCCAGCCAGCTGACTAACCTCTGGCAATATAGCAGTGTGTGTAGCTGTGTAGGTGCGTAACCTTGGCAGTGGATTGTGTTGTGTTGCTCTCTCTCCTGGCCTCCTGCCTGCTGTGTCTCTCTCTACACCTCTTTGTGGGTCACATGCACTCCTGGAGTCTCTCCTCACACTGCCAGCATGACACATAACATTAAAACAACAGACCCTGATACCAAACAACCTGTAGAAAGTGAAGCTTGGGTGGTACACATAGTGTGTCTTTACACCTGCCACAGCACGGACAGCTACAGTAATACAGTTGCCCAACACAAGAACACAGTCAGTAACATGATATACACCTCTTTCGTTCATGCTGGGTGCAACAGCATTTAGAGACACAATGTTGAGCAAGATAGCAGAGAACTGCCTATAAAGAAAGTAATGGAACATTTCAAACAGTAAAAGCAGAAGCAAAAGGCATCGGCAGAATATGAACTACAGCAGAAATAAATGAGGTTGATGAATTTCCAGCAGCCTTTTTAGAGACAGCAGATATACAATCAGAAGCCTTTATGTTCAAACATTTTCACTCCTCATTGCTAAAGCAACAATATGTGAAGCCCTCAGGCGGCTGGAAGCTGCCAATGAGTCAGGAACAATAGGGCGCTGGATGTTTCTCAGTGTGTGTGTGTTTGTATTTCACATTAAGCTGTTTCATCTCCTCCCACCTCTCATCCCTCCAACAATCCCTCTCTCCACCCCTGCTCTCTCTCTCTCCATTAGGGAGCTGGCAGCTCTGATCAGGTGATGCTGAACTTAACTCATTTCCTGTGGGAATTGATGGCCACATTTAATCAAATGGTCAGAAGCTAATGGGTTTAGTGGGGCTTGGGGGCGGGGCCAGAGTGCACCAACTCAGGTCAACATCAGATAGCAAAGATAAGTGAGCGTGGACGTACCTCCTGGTGAAACACTTGGTGCAGGGCAGAGAAACAATGTCCACCTCTGGAAACAAATTCCGGTTTTGGAATCACATGGGAAATTGAAATTGATGAAATTCCGCCTCGACTTATTGAAACAAAAAGTCAATCAAACCTTTGCTTTAGAAGGCTTTATAAGTTTGGGGTAATGTGAGTAGTTTCACCACTGATATCTAAAACAGTAGTTTTACATGTTGTGTATTACTTTGCTGCTAAATTGATTTCAA